TGTCGCGGGGGGGGGGGCTGAAAATCCGTGAGTTGGGATACAATATATCTAACCAAACAACGAGTTTTTTTCTCTTTGAATGCTCCTAATTTGTACTCAGTTCCTTACTTGTGGAGGCATTTTATGTTGTTTGCTTCACTTACGTATTGAGGAGGCTCTACTTAAAATAAAAATAAATTGGTTGGAGGAGACACGGGTGGTGCCAGTATTTCAGCCCTTTCTACCACAGTGTTGCAGGGTGGGACAAATCTGAAACAATATTGATGGCTTCCTCTCGGATCCTAAAAATTTAGAATCATTGGGAGGAGTGGATCTTCCTCGATTTCTTTTTTGCCGAAGTGGTTGGAAAATTAGTTATTCTTCGAGGAACTGCTTGAATTAGAAAAAGGTGTTTAACGTGTCTTGTTTCCATGCAAACACTTAAAGTGAACGTTTATTGCTGACTTTTTTGTAACGCAAATCATCCGATCTTTCCAAAATCACAAACGTAAAAGAGCTATCTTTTATCTTAATTTCCATCTCTTAGGTATAAACATAAATTATTTACCGCGATCTCCCTGCTAAACCGGTATACCGACAAAGAGTCCTGTAGCTACGAGGTATCATGTTCGTGTTGCTCAGGAATAAGACTGCCTACAGGCACAAGGTTTTCAGTAGCCATAATATTTAAAATGAACCCGTCAAATCTTAAAATGTTGTCTAATAATCTTGTTGATGCCTTCAGAATCCCAAAAAAACCATTACCATATATATTGATGAAACACACAAACAAATAAAGCGAACATTATTTTTAGAGAGCAAGTTTGAGATACATATACGTACATGTAACGGCGATACAACGATAACGAGTGCTCTGCACTTAAAACACTTTGGCACAGTTCAGTGGTTTAGTTATTTTTGGTGATAAAAATCAACGACTTTTGCAGACAATAAGAGACTATTGATAAAAGTTGATATTATTGGTGATACTGGTTATGTCGTTATGAAATTGCTGCGTTACCTCGTACTGAAAAATTATCAAGGCTTTCTCGCATTCTTTCTTAAAACACATTCAGACTTGCAATTAAAAAAATAAAAAAATAAATAAAAATTAGCCCTGAAACTTCAAAACACTCCGTCTTGACTCTGACGGCCACTGTGCGCAGTTTTTATTCACAGCGGCTTTTCCGCCAGAAAATTCTCGCTGTTATTATACTCGAACTGGGCTCAATAAAAAGAAGCAAAGTTGCAACTCCCGAGGGATTTCAAATATTTTTGGACATTACGGTGTTTAAGAAAAGTCTTTACTTCAGCAATATTGCAACTATGTTGAGGCGCGTTTTTTTCAGAGTTGCACGCCTCCGCCTTGTAATTAAAACAAGTCTAAAGGAGTTAAAACATTCAGCAAATAAATCCGTATTGAATGACCTCTTTGAAAGGTTGATGGTGATTTTTTTAAACCTGGCAACATGATTGAGAGGCTCACCACTTGGAGCGTCCAAGTAATTTTTGTTTCTAAAAATTGTCCAACTTCTGCCCATAAGTCCTCTCTTCACGGTCAGTTTTTTGCCCGTTCCTTCTTTCTTCGAGATCAAGACATCTAATTTAAGAATCTCTTCATTTAACTAGTTTTCCTAACTACAAATACAATAATGTGAGAGAAAATTGCTAAGAATGATATTGAAAAAAAACGCAGTTACTAAGCAGTTTAGTTGAACCAGCGGAGACAAAAATTAACTTAGAATTACTCTCAAGCGCCATGATGCATTAGCCGTATGCATTTTGCTGGCTTCTTTTTCGCATTCGGTGAAATATTTCACTGCCCGACCTGCCTCTCTTGGCTCTGAAAAGTCAAGGCCACTTTTGACGAGAAGGTCACAAGTACAGACGCCGCCAAATGAGCAATAAAACGCTAATGCATGTTAATAGTGGGTCATAAATAGGATACACATGCTCTCTCCGCGAAAAAAATAAAGAGTTGAATTTACGATCAACGCAACGAAAAATTATATTTTTCAATTATACTTTCTTGGTCAGGGAATGAGAAGTAAAAATAAATACTCAACTTTTGATGAACTTTCTGCTCTGAACAGTACATAGGAAGAATGTTCCGTTCGGATCGATATGAACGTTTGCACAACATTTTCTGAACAGGAATTGTTTGCTTATCATAGTTCTCGTCTTTTTCAAAGAAATTCTGGCCGTGTTGACCAGGATTCTGGTTGATCTACAAATGAAATCAGAGTGGGAAATATTCATGGAACAACTCCTATCTATTTTAAGGGACTTCCCTTCCAAATTGAATTTCCCTTTCTATTCTATTTTTACCATGTTAACTACTACGTTGCACAAATAAATGGAAGTTTTGCGAGAGAAAAGTAACAACGAGAATGAAATTATGCGGTGAATATTTTAATAATGCAAATCATATTCATTTCTCTTGTTGGGGGTTGGGTTTTTTTAGAGACTCTTCAGACGTTGACATTAAAGATGACCAATTCAATTATTTTGCTTTCGCATTCCAAGCCTAAGAGATTACTGATCATATATTTTCCGAAGCAGACAAACAAATTTTACCCTCCATCCCTTCAAATTTCCCGGAAAATTCCTATTTTTTTTCAAAGGAAATTTGACAACGTTTGCATTTTCATACGGCGTTTTTACTTAGCAAGGCAGCCTAAAGGAACCCGTGAAGAAAGCTATTTTCATTTTCTCATGGCCCTGATTCTTCCTGGTACGTGGATACTTATATTTTGACGAGGCACGGTTAGAAGTTGAAGTCTGCGGATCCACTTTGAAGCGGCAAATCCTTGCCGTATACTATTTCCCACCAATTTTCCACTCGTACACATAAAAACCAAACCCGACTAATTTCCCGCTTACACACATAAAAATTTCCCCGTTCTCAGCTGCATCACTGCTCTTCGACAGGAGCTCTGCCGTGCATTCCACCGTAATTTTCAATTACAACTCGTCGTAAGTTTTCTCCCCCCCTCCTTCTCTCTCCCCGTTACATTTTCTTCAGACACTCATCCTGTCTTCTCCTCGTTTAAAGCCTACCTATTCCGCGGGAAAAATTGGCCCATTCTTTGTAGAAATAACGTATTAGCTTTGCAGTGCTGCCTAAATTGTGTAACTCGGTGCATCATTTGCAGAAGACCAATTTGACAGCTGGGCTAGAGTTTTGCCCCCAAAAAGCTTCCATATTTTTAATAAGCTTTCTGTCATCAATAATTACTACGCTTATGTTCGTTTTGTTTGCTATACATTATATAAAACGTTGCACAATTTGAGCGGCATAGCAAAGTTTGTGCGTCGTTTCTACAAAGAATGACTCAATTGCAGCCAAGACAGCGTTGTCACACCCCTCGAATTTCCCCGAAAATCGATGGAAGAATAAGTCGGATCTCCACCCGAGACGGCAATCCTGTCGAGTGCAGTGTAAAGCGGGAAAGATTTGCACCGGCTGGGGCCCGGGANGGGGGGGGGGGGATGCACCCGGGAGCGGGCGAGTGGCAATCTTGGTGACTTAATTGAAAACGTGAATGGCGTTTACGGCATCATCTCGATCACCAGACTGCACCGGTAATCGGCCCTACGTTCTTCGCTCCGACAGAGATACCCCTGTGGGAAGGAAAAACTACTCCCATCGCTTCGATTCATGTCGACGACACTCGAGCACAGTACAATCTGCGGATTGATTGTTGACACGGACAGAAAAAGTGATAGGCAAAGAGGATAAATGAATCGGTCAGTTACAAAAGGGCTCAAGCGCCAAAAATGAGAATTCGAAAAAATTGTTTTTAATTGACCCCTTAAAAATCTCAGCGCTCTTAATCGGCGATTTAAAACGGGTCGGTCCATCTGTATATACAGTTTCTACTGTTTCTTTCGTATTTTTATGACTGGCACTTGAGCCCTTTGGTAACTGACCGATTCGATGGAAAATGGAGCGGTTCTATTGGTCGAAACGGATGGTTGTTATGATACAAATTTCCGCGTGTGGATTTGGTCAAATTTTTCGACCAGGTTGGCTAGGAGAAAAACGCTGTTAAAATTTAAACTCGATGGATTAATACAATATGGATAAAAAAAAAAAATTATAAAATGGATTAATAAAATGTGTGTAATAAAAAAAGAGTTAATTAATCAAGTTAATCCAGCCAACTTTTCCCTTTTCCCATTGACGTGGTCGTCACGGCTACCGGCATAAAAACCAAATGTTGCACCATCACCGGGAGGGAATTTTGCTATGTTGTTGAAGGTTGACATGCAGTAAGTCAAAAACTCAATCAAATCCATTCGCGGCACTCGCCAAAAGACGAAGAGGGAAAATGATGTACCAGTGACAGGGACCCTCGTAAGTTGCTATTCTCTATATATTATTTGTTTCCTTTTTCCATTGCAACCACCCTCTTCCACAAATACGATCACTCTATTTTCCCTTTATCTTCTTGGTTACAGCTTGATTTTTAACAATCAGCCCATTGAAGGGACGATTGTTGTGATGTGTCAACCTTGAGATCATTAGTTAGGTTCAAGCAATGTTCCGTCATTCGAAGTCTAAGTTTACGCACTTTTAGAATATTGTGACAGAGGATCCGCCCTCATACTTCTTACATTTACTTCATATGTAAAAGTGACGTCAGACGATCTTCGACAAATTTCTGTAAGAAGGGCGTAAATTTCTTTGGCGTGGACTATATGTGACATGAGGAGAGGGGGAGGTCTAAAGATAAATCTCCCTTATAATCAAGAAAAATTACGCTTTTTGAGAGGAAAATTTCCCAGTAATGAGCGGGGGATTCGAACCCCCTGGACCCACCTCCTGGCTACGCCACTATCTACTACTACTACTAAGCCACTCTTATAGCGCTTCTGTGCGCTCTGTGACACCCAACCGCCACTGATAGCGACCCTACCAGAGCTCCTCCAGCGGATCGCATCTCCTCATTTCCTGTCTTATTCCCTTAATCTACGATTGAGACTCACTATCTAAAGTATAATAAAAAGAAACTCACCCTCTTTGGTAGTGGCAACAGTGTTCTCCGGATCGACCTGCGAAGAAGAAGCAGAGGACAAGAATGAGACGGAGGTAGTGCTTAGTCGACTGTTAGTCCTGACAGAAGACAGGGATCCCTCCTCAGGGGTCGGAGGGGCGGACACTATCACTATGAGCACCATTGGCTTCGAGTCAGAAGCTCAAGGGTCCCATCACTGCATGCCACAGAAACAACCGCACATCGCTCACATTCTTCCTTGCGCCCTTTGGGCAGTCACTATCCGCGCGTTGATTTAAAGTTTGCTTCGAAACGATAAAACACTGGGATCTTCAAACGGACAGTCTCGAACCAGAGTTTTCACTCGAATCCATGGGGTATATTCCTCAGAGCACTGTGAAAAAAATGGGTCTGAGTGGAGTGGTGTCACTTTGAGGGGAAGGGGTTCCTTTGCATGAATTTTAGAACTAAACCCTCTATTTTTAAACAAAAGGAAAAGTGGTCAGTTTCTGGCAGGTTAAAATAGAGATTCTAAGAGACTTTACCCTATCCGATAAATGTTGTTAAATTGGAGATTAAAATCAAACTGTTCCCTAATATTTTGTGAGGGTGGGATAGTGAGGATACTGGAAGAGTGAGGGAACACCGGTGAACATTCTGTTGGTCCTTTAATGGAGAACCTTATTTTCGGTAACTTCTTTCACTTCAGTGGGACCTGTTGATTACAAAAATTGTCCCTTGTCCAGAGTCTCCTCTGGCCCTAATAATTGTAATAGTGTATTGTAATAGTGTAGTGGCCCTAAATATTGTAATAATTAGTGTAAATTGGATTTCACAATAATCTTTGCCTGCATATTTTTACCATATCCAATTCAGAGCAGAGATATGCAGATCTAGGAGGGAGGGATGGGGAGGGGGCTTATTGATTAGAGTTCATTTATTTTCACGTTAAAACACTTCATTACACGTTGTACTTTCTATTTATGCTGAGCGTGGTGACAAGTAAATCGTAATTATTCTATTTAGGCGCTTATATTTTAAGAAATCGAGTTTTCAATCAATCATCATTCGGGAGTGGACTGCATGCTTTGAACCTACGCACATCATTTTAGCTTTGTTGACTCTCATAATATATTTTAAGCTATGTAAAATTTGAGGAATAGGATGTTGTCTTCAAACTTAGCCTCAACCCTCGAAATACACTGTAATTTTTCTAGTAATTTTCTTTTTCGTAATGTCTTTGGCCACTTAATGGGATGGATAAAAGAGGAAGAAATTTTATAATTCAAAAAGTGTTTCGCTCTCGAAAATTTTTCAGAATGTTGCACTTGAAATGTCATTGATATTATTTTGAAAATTTGCTGACTACTTTTTCTTTAAAATTTGTTTAATTTTCTTTAAATTCTTTTCCCTTGGAAAGTTGGTGTTTAATGATACTCGAGTGATTGCCCTGACAACTTTTCCGGGGAAAGAGGGAAGGACGAGAAGTTTTTCACCACTGACACTTTACTCCTTCCTGGCGTCGCGGGGGGATCGCGTGGGGTTCGATACGCGTCGCGACGCTTCTGCGTTGGCGGCGTCGGAGTTCGCGGCGTCGAATCGGGTGACCAACTTACGTGGGCTCGGCTCAAGCCTCTTGCACTGACTAACGCGCCCCGATCGGACCCAGGCCCGGTCTGATCAGACCGGTCCCCACCGCACCCGCACCGCGCTGGTACCCCCCCCCCTCCACTGCGCTTGGTGCAGAATGCACCGTTTGGTCTCTGGTAATCGTAAAGTTGGTGCACTTGCACTCTAGTAAAAATTTTCTTATTGGAACCAGCGCATTTAGGCAGTAAATCAGTGCTCTACTATAATTGGACCCAGTTCAACAGAAAGGAACCAACCTGCATAATTTTTTTTATTTTATTTTTTTAAGTTATTATAGGTTTTTAATTCATTTGAGGATTATGCAACCTTGAATTAGCATTGGGTGAGGGTAAGTACACATCCATGCTCCAGGCTCTCGAAGTTTTAGAGAATAAGGCCGAGTGGAGTCTGATTCTGCGGACCCACTCGTGAGTTCCTTGAAAATTTGTCGCCACTACCGGCATTTGAACCCGGGACCTATTGGTCTAGAGTCAGACGCGCTGACCGCTAGGCTAACTTGCCCAGCCCACATTGAGTTGAAACTGAGAGAAAGAGGTTTGAAGTTTTATTCCTCCACATGGCTCAATGTGCAAAATAAACTTTAACCACTCTTAGCACAGGCTAATGGTTTGCTAGACTTCATTATTTTTAGGGTTTTTTTTTTTTTTTTTTTTTTTTTTTAGTTTTTGACAAGGGAATATCCGACTAGTGGAATTCAAAAGCATTCTTAATACAATTTTTCCGAAAATAATTAAGGGTTGGTTCCTTCCTGATGAACTCGGTCCCATTTATACTATGAAAGAAAAAGATTAAAGATGTAAACCGTACCACGCGAGCTAGAATTTGTATATTTAGTATATTTCTCGTTAATATGCATTTCGGGCATAGCCCATCATTAGCAGCAGATATTAAAAAAATATTGGAAAATTAATAAAAAACGAACAACTTAAATAAGAAGTAATCACATTTAGCATAAATTATAAAAAAGCCCAAAAATATATGACAACAAAAGACTGAATCAGTAATAAGCCAAAGCAAAGAAGGAAAAATAACGAGGATAAAATAATACAAAACAAGACGAAAGAGTGTGTACTCGAATCTGAATGTAGAAAACCCTAGCCCCTTGTAAGATAAGAGAATACCACCCGGATTACACCGAATCGCCGGGAAATACGCGGGAGACTTCAACGAACGGTAAGGAAAAATTGACACTCACTCGGGGATTCCTCAGCGTTTAACGACACTCACTAACAGTATAATAAGATTTCAAGAATAAAGAAAAAAAAATTGGCGAAATCAAATAAGTAAAAAAAGAAAAACAAGAAAATAAAAACAAGTGAACCAAAAGGAGAGAGAAGAAGAGAGAAAATCATGACCTAATGTATGTAGTCCGCTTGATGATTCAGTAAGCGTCGATTGCTCAACGAAGTGTCAAGTTATTTTTTTTCTGCTTTTGGTAACTGGGTGAGATTCCTAAAATGTTGTCGTTCGACAGCTGCTTCCAACTTTAAAAGAAACAAAAAATAAAAACGCGTGATTTACTTCAAAGCTCACGGACAGATGTGCAAAGTCTACGATGCGACACGAAACAAGTTATTCGACTTTCTCCACCTAAAATCACAAAAAGCTCTCGCTTCCTAAATGACAGTTCCTCAACCGATAATCACGGGTTCCGTTTCCGAAAGAAAGTGAAAAAGATGGCTAGACGTAGGGACTCATAACAAGGCAGAATCATGCGAATGGGCGGACGGCATCCACATTTTATTCCACAGCGTGTTGCCATTTTTGAGGGACTACTTTTTTTTGACTCATTCTAGAAACATCATACGCGCTTTTCGTTTCCTAATGCAAATAGTTCGTTTCATGGATGAGCCAGAAATATTCGTTCCTTATTTCAAGATAAGACGCCTTTACGCTTCGTAGAATTCGTTAAAAATGACGGTCTCAGACATTCTGTCGTTGCTGTATGGGGATATTCCATTCAATATTTAGACTTAACCTTGGAGTGAATTCGGAGTAGTATGACTGCATTCATTAATATCACCAAAAATAAATTAAATCCTCTCCATTAATTGCGTGTATTTAAAACTTTCTGTTTCCCACAAAAATGGCAATACCGATTCTTCATCTTAAGTGAGAATGTGAGTTTGGAGTTAGACGTGAAATTCTGGGACGTTTTGAGTGTTGTCATGTTTGGGTGATGCGTATTTACCTTTCTCAACGTTTCAAAATTGATAATCTGACTCGCGCTCTGTTTGGAAATTGATTGTATGGATTAAACATACTTTTAGGAAAAATAGAGGTTTTGATACTTTAAGTAAAGGAAGTTCCAAGAGGAACACAACAAATTTTGCCCAAATAATGATACAAAATGCGCTTGAACTTTTTGGTTAAGACTGTAACTACAATACACCTTTTTTAAGCAGTTTTTCTAGAAATCCTGAAAATTTCACTTTACATGAGCAATGAACATGTACTGGATACTTTAACAGAATTTGTAGGTATATGGTATTTAATAAATTTGATTTATTAAAATTGAAACCATATTGAGTGATCAAAGCGCGAAATTAAACAATTATTGGAGTATTTTTTGAGTAATCTCCTAAAGCACAAGTGTTAAAGTGAGTAACGCTACTCTATGAGTCCAAAGAAAGGACAATCTTACGCTTTTAAATTCACTTTTCTCAAATTACTCATGTCGGAAAAAATTGTGAAAATATAGGTATAGTACACTCAGATTATTTGTTATATTAATTAAATAAAGAATACAATTTTTTCATTTAAATATCCTGCGATACTTCTAACATTTTCGAGCATGCTGCCAGAAAAAATAAAATCAAAGGCAAAAACGACACCAATGGAGGGAAGGCTCCTCTTTGATCTTGGCTGAAAGAGGGGCGTGATCACTGGAATCGGCTAATTAACCCACAGCGAATGAGCATTCTTTATTCGAGAGCCTTAATCCGTGGAAAATACTTTTTGCCCTTCTCCAGGATCCCTCGCTGATGCCAGATGCACCGCTGAAGAAGTAGAAGTACACATAAAGGTGGATATAAAAGTTCGTAATTTGACACAGTATCAAAAACAACATACCGAGGGCATGTTTAGACAATGGATACATGAAGAAAATAAAAACGTCAACATGAGATAAACAAACAAGCTATTTAACGTGAGGTGAGTGGAATACCGGGAAAAAGTTGTGCACGAAATATACTTATACATTGCTTTGAAAAAAAAAGGTAAAAAAAAATTTAACAAAATTAGATAACTAAACAACTTTACTTTTCATTCAATTGCACTGCGTTGACGAGTAAATTTTGAATATGGAATCTCTTTAAATTTAATTTACACATTGAAGAGTACAAATATTTAATAATTAACCTAAATTTCATAATGATATTTTTGTTTTTGGGCTCTTTTGAATCATGTCTCATGATAAGGTCCTTTACTTAAGAATCAAAATATTTTTCCATTGTGCAGCCATCCTTCTAAGCACTATAGAATTCAGCAATAAAATTCTCATTACTCAATACAAGAGATAGATAAAGGATATATTATAGACTCTTTTTAACATCCTTGGATATCCCGACATCAAGAGATGGACACATCAATTCTTTAGGCTTTTCAAATTTTCAGGATTAAGGCCAAGTAGAATCTGCCTCTGTAGATTCGCTCATCGGATTTGTGAAAATTTAATGCCACTTACGAAACTCGAACCCGGACCTCCTGACCTACAGTCGGACGTGCTGATCAAGAGGCTAACCCGCGGCTATCCTGTATACACAAAATTTGGATGTAGGGTTAATTTCTATTGTTTAAGTTGGGACCATCGATGTACTGAAAATCTAATAATGGCGTAGCCAATTACAGCGTGTCTACTGAAATTTCATTTTGGATTTTTCTGATAATTTCCTGATTTTTTCTGATATTTTAAATAAGATTTCCTGATTTCCTGCGCGAATAAATTGGACGTATTTATGCTAAAAGGAACTATGAGCATGTGTTTTGCGCGCAATTTAGTTCTTTTCAGCATAAATACGTCTAATCAATAGACATTTGATTTTAGAAATCAACATACTTAATGAACTGAATCAAAATTGTAACTTTTTCCAGGCATGTTTTTTCACTGAAAAGCATAAAAATAGCTAAGCATAAAAAAATCTATAAACATCCCTTAAGAGAGACTCGGGGGTAACAAAAATGCTTGATGTACTCGGGAATTTTCTGATCCAAGGCCGATTTTTCTGAAAACATCGAATTTTATGATATTTTCCGGCTTTTCATGATTGTACAGTCTTCCTGCACCAACAATAAGTCAGTCTTTAATAGCCAAAAAGCTAAGCCTCCCCGAATTTATTCCTTGGTACGCAAACTGACAACGTGGCCTCGGAGGGGCGTTCAAAAAAATTAGCGCTAGAAACACGATTCTTATCACGAGGGGCCTCATAATCAGATAGCCACCACCCCCCGCCGCAGGCCTGCACTACTTTCGTCGGGCCGCCGCGTATGGGGCGTAACTCCTTTTTGACGTGAGCCCTTAAAAGCACGGAACTACACGAGTCGGAGGTCTCAACTTAAAGTAGAGCTACGCCTTTGCGTCAGAGAATCAACGCTTCCCGCGACGAAAACAATTACAGGACAATTTAGTGTTTGACTTCGGTAAATCCCGGCCGCGCCACGCCGAACCCCCTGAATTTCTTGCCAGAACCGCGTATCTCCAAATAAAAACCGGTGTTGATTCGTGGTTTTTGCCGAGTAGATACGAGACCTTATCGTTGGTATCTATTCTAATGACCCGTTTGGAGCAACACTCGGAGGTGTTGCATTGCAAGTGTGTCACTTAACAGCGGCCGCTCTGGTATTCCGTACCAGAGAGCCGTCCAGATATTCAAATTTTTGAGCTCTTTCAGCCCCGGCTATTGCAGTAGCTTGGCGTGCTTTGAGGTATATAGATTGATCTGTCATTTAAATCAATGGGAAAAGGTCGATAAACAGGGTGTTTGAAACGAACACCTCAGTAATCGATT